GGTCGCGCCACCCTCATCCGCGACCGCTGCCAACGCGGCTCCGGCGACCCCATCGTCCTCCCGCGCCGACCCGGCCGCCGGCAGCTCGAATCAAAGTTCGCCCCCCGCCCCTGCGCCCAAGATGATGGAGATGCCCAACATCCGAATCTTGGCCGTCGACATGGAGAGAGAATCGCAAAAGGTGAGATCGCTCTATGGGCCCGACGAGGAGGAGGGCGGGTGGGTCCATGGGGGGCCGGGCTCGTCGTTTACCGACCGCCCCGAGCCTATAGCGGAGGTCCCATCGGACGGGGAAGTGAATGCCGCGTATGATTTCCTAGTCAACCCGAGCACAAGACCCCCTACGCGCCCGCGCCAATCGCTATTGACACGATTCGCTCGTGCTCTCTCGCAGGTCCCGTTCCCCAGGAGGCGACAGCCTCCCCCCACACCGCGTTATTACAGATACGCCTCGGCCAGTCAGCTCGTCGTCGCTGCGACGAGATAACCTCGCTAAGAGGGAGTTTGAGTTGGCAGGCGGCATCGAGGACTGGGAGGACGTCGATGGCGCCGATGTCGACCGCTTCGGCTTCATCTCCCCGAACCCGAGGAGGTCCGAGTTCAGAGGGGACGCCGCCGGGCCCCAATCATTGCCGCCGACGCCCAGGAAGAGGAATGTGCTGGTTAAGAGGATGGATCCCGCTGTCCACGGCTCGGCTTCTTTGTCCCCGGGGCGCGGGCCAACCCGAAAAGTCTCGGCACGGTCCTTGAACACCCAGGCTTCGGAACTTTCCGCCACGTCGAGACGGTCAGGCCGCTCCTCGGTCAGGGCCGCAGCTAACCTGCTCCCGCATAACCGGGACAGGAGGTTGATGGACGAGGCTGCGGGTATGTTGACACTGGCCCCCGGCCTGTCGGACATTCTCGAGGACGAACAGGTGGAGAAGATGTCAGAGGCCTTCAAGAGGAAAGAATGGGAGAGAACGGAGAAGTGGAGGAAAATGGCCAAGGTTAGCCATAAAGGCCAGTCGGGCCAGGGGATGGAATTCCAGTTTGACCCAAAGAACGCCAAGGTGGTCGATCGCACCTGGAAAGGCATCCCCGACTGCTGGCGCGCCGCGGCATGGTACTCATTCCTCACGGCGAGCGCCAGGCAGCACGGCTCAAACACCACAGACGAGCAGTTGACGGCCGATTTCCAGCGCCTGCAGGCCGTCAGCTCGGCCGACGACACGCAGATCGATCTCGACGTCCCACGAACGATTAATCGTCACATCATGTTTCGTCGGCGCTATCGCGGGGGCCAGCGCCTTCTTTTCAGGGTTCTCCACGCCCTGTCACTCTACTTCCCCGAAACCGGCTACGTTCAGGGCATGGCCTCATTGGCTGCTACGATGCTATGCTACTACGACGAGGAGAAGGCGTTCGTCATGCTGGTCCTCATGTGGAGGTTCAGAGGGCTCGAAAGACTCTATGAGCCAGGTTTCGGCAGCCTGATGACGGCGCTGAAGGACTTTGAGAAGGACTGGCTTAGGGACAAGGAGGTCGCTCACAAGCTGGTATGCAACTTTACCCCTCGGCTGACAAAATTCTGCATGTACAATCTGACGGTTTTTTTTCACATTCTAGACGGAACTTTGCATCGACCCAACAGCCTATGCCACCCGCTGGTATCTTACTCTATTCAACCTATCCGTCCCATTTCCGGCCCAACTCCGGGTTTGGGACGTCATCATGCTCCTCGGGGAGCCATCACCACGGAGCTCGGGCGCAGAATCCAGCGAGGCGCCAATGAACCTGGACATTCTTCACGCCGCGGCGGCTGCAATAATACACGCCCTGGCCGAAGTCCTACTAGACTCGGATTTTGAGAATGCCATGAAGGCGTTGACATCATGGGTCCCCATCAAGGACGAGGAACTCCTTATGAAAATCACCAGGGCCGAGTGGAAGCTTCGTCAGGGGAAGAAGAAGGCGTAGGATGCCGTCTTGTCACCCAAATCAGCTCGCCGCCTGCTCGCAACCTGAAGGCCTTACCTCGGCTACTTTACTGGTCGTTCGTTGGCTTTGCTTGTTGAACCGGATTCTCTTCCTCTTCTCTTATACTTTTTTTTACTCTCTTTTAATGGGCAATGCTTGGACAAGGCGCTCTGGCGCCTTTTAACGAAGGACCCATTTCATGTGAGCGTCAGGGAGGTCTTTTTTTTTTTTTTTTTGGCTTTGGGCTCTTCATTGATATGTAAGGAGACATCAACGTTCTTCCTCACGTTTGCTTTATACCCAGTCTTGCTATTTCCTTTACCTGATGGGCAGGACAGGACACTACAGGCAAGGAGGCGCACATTGGTTGTCAGGGACAGCACCAAAGAAGCACCCCTATGACGTCCATTTTGGGGAACGTCAGTCCTGCATAGGGACAGTATCTTTACCACTATTCGGGAATTTAACTTTTATTAATACGTTCATTTTAATATACTGATGAGTTTTTTGTATTTCTTTCTTTGGCAAGAAGACGCCGTGTGACGACCTGTGATAGTGGATGGGTTCGGTCGCTGGTTTTCGTGCATGTGAGCAGCAGGACGTTGCACGAAAAACCGCACCTGATACCTAGCACGGCGGCTGATAGGACCTTTGGATAAGGAAAACGTGTGATGTATGTGCATCGGACGCTGGATGCCTTTTTGTGGTACCATTTTGCGATGCTTCAGCTGCGGGGAGAGGGCGGCCGAGTCGGGTCTGATAGGTGACTGAGCTCCCCTGACTCGGACAGCTTCCACAGACAACGTGGGAGAGTGGTTAATCCGTTGGCCTGCTATTTTCGCGAATAACAAAGCCAATGCCTTCGGGCGCGCGCGTTCGAATCGCGTCGTTGTCGGTATTTTTGCATTTTTGTCTCTTAGCCAGCTAGCACAGGATTAGCAAGACTCCGTCCTTCCTGCCGAACAGGATGGCACTTTTTTTTTTTTTTTTTTTTTTTTTTTGGTATTCCTCCTTCAAGTTAGGTTAGTTAGTCGCCAGCGGCACCCGCCTCTTCTTATCGAGAAAATGGTCAAGTATAGACGAGCACGTAGCCACGGCACCGGCGGCGACCTTTCCAGTTTGGCCTGTAGTCGCTTTCACTTTCGTATTCCCAAAAACTAAAAGCTGCAAGCAGATGGGCTAGCGTGTAGCGGCCCCATCCATCCTTTGGTGCATCCTCGGCAAAGCAGCACCAGGGGATGGGCGGGCTCTCACAAGCGTACCGTCCACCTGTCGGCGGCGCACGTGTGCGTGTTTGATGTCGCTGGCTTGTGAATGAGACAACGGGCGAGGTCGGAAACGATCATGTATTACCATTATCATGCATCCACACATGCGGCACTGGTATTTGGGGCTGCGCAACCATCGACGGGTGTCATCTGGCCCTCGCCAGGGTCCGGGGGTATGGCCAAAATGTTTGATCCATTATGCAACAAACAAATTATTCCACGGACACAACGCAACGCAGAGACATTTCCCAAAAATCCGGGTTGTGACGCTGCGAGATGATCTAGCCACGCCGGGAGGGTGTGTGGGTGGGTATATGTCGTCGGTTGAATAGGGATATTTGGAAAATAAAAATGGAGCAAGACAAGGTGTATCGGGCGGTTTTACTGTTTGTTGCTACCGCTGGTATGTTGGCCTTTTTTCCCTTCCATGTCTTTTCCTTTTGGTTAGCGGGTTCGCGAAAAAAAAAAAAAAAAAAAAAAAAAAAAAAAAGGAGTGAAAATATGGAGTAAATTGACTTTGATTCGCCCAGTTCCGGGATGATTTTCCTAGTACATGGTTACATGTTACCACGGGTCTCGTGCGGCTGGGGGGTGTGGGCTCCAGTCCACGCTGGCGCGGTTTCTTGGTACCCGGTGCGGGATGGAGTTGTGGACAAAAGCACCTGCCGGCGGAGACTGAGAGGCCCGGCAAGCCGTTACCATGGTAAACCTCCCATGGACGCCAAGCCCTTTTGGTGATATCACGCCCGGGATATGAGACTGACCGTCCGTGGAGCTCGTTGGCCACCCGGGCAGAGCCGAGGAATGGGCTTGACGCTGCGAGGTTCAATGGACGAGATACGTAGATGGCAGGGGTTTCTGTTATCAAATGATCTCATTACGCTGAAAGGTCCCCGGCACGCTGACAAGTTCACGGAAACGGTTTCATCTTGTTTATTTATGGGGAACAAATCGGGTCGGGCTACTCGGATACAATAGGCACCCGGTAGTGTTTTTGTCCTTCCCGCGCGGACATCTTAATTGCCCCTCATCGGTCTGGGCGGGGGGTAGGATCGTGATCGGAGATTAGCACAGGGGAGGCCCACAAACCATCACAGAGGGAGGGAAAGGAAGTTAGGTCAGACTGCGCAGTAGGAAGCCAGGTTGTTTCGCAGGTGGCGCCATCAGCCATCCCCCTCGCTTACGCTCGATGCTGGGCAAACCTGCGAGGCTAAGAGCTGCGAGGCCTTTAAAGAACAAAAGTGGCGTCAAGGGGTCGTGAAATAACGGCAAGAATAAGAGAGAGAAAAGCAAGGAGAAAGGGAGCTAAAACAAAATGACCCATCGAAAGTCCGGGCCTAGCTTCCTGGACAGGCCCGATCAAGCAACGCCAGACGACGCTTGAGAAAAATGGGAAATAAAAAAAAAAAAGACGAAAGCCATTGGTCCAGACTAGACCGCCATCTCCATCAACTCGCATCGGACCACAAGCCCTCCGGGAAGGACCCCCTCCCCACCCAGCGGGCTCGCCGCTGAGAAGGCTGGGACAGGAATCCTGGTTCATCCTGAAGGCTTCTTCTGTCTGTGTCTTTTTCCGTGCATGCATATACAGTTCAATATACACACAGACACACACACACACTCGCAGCACGCGGCAAAAGGACAAACTCTAAAAAGGCCATGTGCAACTGCCAAGAATCTCGAACTTCAGGGCCCTGCCACCTGATTTTCCCCGTCCGTGCCATGCCATTCCGTGGGTGTGCGCCCAAGACAAAACGGTCGAGCCACCTTCAGACCTGCAGCGAGCGGGTCCCTTTTTTGCTGCGAGACACGACAGACAGTTGAGACAGAGACACAGACAGACAGCCCATGTCGGCGGCCTGTGTGTGTGTGTGTGTGTGTGTGTGTGTGTGTGTGTGTGTGTGTGTGTGTGTGTGTGTGTGTGTGTGTGTGTGTGTGTGTGTGTGTGTGTGTGTGTGTGT